TAAATCTATAGGCGAAACACGAATAGCTGCTATTCCTCGGTTGAATATTTCGACGTCTACAGGCATCGTGAAGGCTTCATTTGATTTAATTGTGCTTAGCGTTGACTCTGATGGTATCGTGACCAAACTTTCATAGCTTTGCGAATCAGGTACATCAGGTATGGTCTGAACAGTTGGCATCCTTGAGCCGTCGGCTACGCTTTGTTCCTCGTTTTGGGTGAGCTCTTGAATCAATATGTAGACGGCAAGACGAACAAACACGAAAATCCTTGGTGTTCAGTGTGGATACCTTGGAAAATCCAATTGATTTTAGTTTTTGGATGATACCATCCGTGAGATATCGCAGCTCTTTCGAACACTGAATGTCTTTGAATGGGCGAATACATCTTATTTTACTCATTTTGTAATCTGTAACATAGAAAATATTTTCCAATTGTTAGTTTTGTACGAAAATATCACAAAACATATAATTAAAATGTGTATTTAAAACTTACCTTTGCACCAAAACGTGTTACACTTTCCTTTACAATTATTATGTTATCAAACAACACTGGATCTCGTTCAAAAACACAGGATTATGAGCTGAAATTACTATAATCACTATGCTACTAGCAACCTTTCTGCATTTACTGTTTGGTTTTCCCTAGTAGATACTGGATGAATTCAGAACCGAGTCAGACATTATTATACAGCTCACGGGTAGAAATCATAGAATGCTGGGTAAAGACTGTTGGAAGATAGGTAGAGTTGAACGCTCAGGTATCGTCGAACCTTCAGGTACGAGTTTGGAGAGCTGGAGCGAGGTAGATTTGCTGGCGTAGGTATATTGTTATTGAAGAAGATTGTAAATTGTATATACCTGGAATGAATAAAGAGTGCGGCGGTTGTTGATTGTATCAGTCGGCAGCCCACTCCTGCGTTCTTTTTATTTATTATTAAGGAACGGTCAACGACGGAGCTAGCCTCGTTATGGCCAGCGTGGCCATGGTGGACTAGTTCCAACAAAGACCATGTTTACAATCACCAACTGTACGTAGTACAGCTAACTGGTATCTGATTACCTGTATCTAATACTTGTTAGCACGTTTTCAGCACAACGCACCAAAAATCATTTGAAGAAATCATTGTTCCTGATAGTGGGATTTTGTAACTTGTTTTTCAAAATACTTTTAAGGCAGAGAATTTCACTCGAATCTTTAAGCTGTCAGTGTCATTTTAACTCAAAATTTTCCAATCTTTCCGAAAAAAATACTTTTGAAACTGGAAAAACACGGAGTACATCCGAAAAGGGCCAAAACTTATTAAGTTATCAAAAAAAAACAATATTAAATCAGTAATATCTTCTAAACGGTGCATCTTAGAAAAATGTTACCGAAGTACTTTTTGTTTGCAAATTTGATGTACTTTCATAAAATTAGGGTTACAAACTTTTTTGACTTTTCCTAATAGCTTTTTTGAAAATTGTATTTTTTTAAAAAACAATTTTTTTCATTGTAACCTATTTTTCTCCAGAACAACCTACTGTGCATTAGATATCATTTTTAGTCAGCTATAACATAAGGATAATAAAAAAATTATTGACATGTCACTTTAAAGGGAAAATTTATATTTTAGTTCAAAACACAAATACCAAACTTTTTTTTTTACCGTGCATATTTTTTCCATATAACACTAACAATTGTCTAAAACTTCGCCCAAGACACCAAACCAATCGGACAAACCGTTTCCGAGATACAATTTTTTGAAGATATCATGTGCATTTTTCATAGGCCCTTCTCATAAGTAAGGCTAGATTCAAAATGGCGAACCAAGTATGCAAAACGGCGTTTTTCTTCCCCAAAAACTTGTATGCAAGGTTTCATGCAAATCAAAAAATACAAAAAATAAAAACTGGAAAAATTTCCCACTTGTTCGTGGAACCGCTCTATAGCAAAAAGCAGATACAATATTACATCAATGGATGCAATGGATGTAATTTTGTTCGCAAAATCGATGTACATCGTACAATGTGATATTACACAACCGATGGATTGAGCTGGTTGCAGCAGTTTCGATGTTATATTCAACAACTTTTTTTGCTGTGTAGTACTAGAATTTCGACTAGAATGGGATACGTTAATCGTTTGCTTGGGACCAATAGGCTAGTCAAGTAGTGAGCCAAATTAAAATCGTTAGTTTCGTATTGATTGTTGCTGGTACTCTCTTCGATCCCAAGCTAATCGATTCACCCCTTGAAACATAGGAAAAACATATAACCTCTCATTTCATCTGTCAAACTTTCATAGCGAATCAAAACAAACATTGCGTAGTACTAGAATTACGACTAGAATGGGGTACGTTAATCGTTTGCTTGGGACCAATAGACTAGTCAAGTAGTGAGCCAATTTTAAATCGTTAGTTTCGTATTGATTGTTGGTGTTACCAAGCGAAAATCTATTCACAATTTTCCTAAGGATGCCCGAACTACAGGAGATTTTCTTCTTACTTGGAGTCCAAGCGCTTGCAACGAAACAGTTATGTTCCGACCACTTCCCCCCGGAGGCTTTTCGAATTCCTGGAAGAACGGATGCAGGGAAAGCAGTGTTCAAATTTTACCACATTGACCAAACAACTCGATTGATTTCCGTTGTTTTGTCTTGTTTGTTTTGAACTGATTTGACAGTTCATTTGAATACACGGTCAATAAGGTCAACCCAAATTTTAGTTCAGTTTACTCATCCATCGCACAAAGTGATAACCACAAACAAAGTGACAGACGGAGCGGCTCGAAAACTTTGGTGACTAACCTTCTATTGCAATTTTTCAGTGTACTACATGGCAACACCACTACAACTGGATTGTACCACATGGCAACACTACTATTGGATTGAACTAGCATTTTCACCAAATGTACTAGAATATTTTGGTTCTATCTCTTTCACTCTACTCAAAACTGAAATGCATAAAAAAATGACAAAATGATACGCACTCTTTGCACACTGTCAAAGAATCATTGTACACAAAATCAACTTTGTTCAAATCAAAACAAAAAAACTAACCCATCTGGTGGATGATGGCACAAGCTTCCAAGAAAATTCTATTACAGTGAACCACATTATTTTAATGAATTTCTTCGCCCGTTAGTCGTCTGTCACTTCGTTTGTGGTGATAACTCGAGTCTCAACATTAAGTATGGGCGACGCATGGCCGTGAGGATGCAAAGAAAAAGTCGACGAAGAGAATCTGTCAATGTTACTTAGGACCTAATGCATTGTTCAGCTTGATATCTTTTTTTTAAGACTTTATTTAAGAGATTTTTAGCCTTAGGCTAGTTCATCTCTTCAGCTTGATATCTAATAACACCACGAAAATAGTTATTTTACGTTTGAAGAGATGTTCTGATGATCGTTTCAAATGCTCATGCGGAAAAATTGCAGCAATCTAGAGAATAAACAAGAATTTTTGGAAATTTTTCGGTTTCTATTATTTTGAGAAATAAGTGGAATTTCTTCAAATTAAATATACCCTCAATAATTCTCACACGATCGCACAATGCATCAATAATGCATCTCGACGAAAATGTTGGTGATAGCTAGGAAAAAAACTGCAATCTATTTGCAAAATTTTTTCAAGAAATCTATACGACATTTTCTGAAGAAGATGGCGACCGCGATTATTTGGCATTTTTTCCAGAATTTTCAAGGACATTGGCCTCAATCAACTTCAAGTGCAGGATATTTTGCAGGCTTTAAAAATTTTAGACGCCTCAAAAGGTGAAGTCGAAACTCTAGTACTACCATAGAGGTAACTCTAAGACCACTGGGTCCCGAAGAAAATCATTATTATTTTTGGCTCACTCAGTACCAGAACAACGGTCCCAAGCAGTCCCAAGCTATTTCACTCACCCCTGCATGTTCTGCATGAATCCACACACCCCTGATGTTATCTGTCAAACTTTCATAGCGAATCAAAACAAACATAGTGTAGTAATAGAATTTCAACTAGAATAGGGTACGTTAATCGTTTGCTTGGGACCAATAGGCTACTAAAGTGCTGAGCCAATTTAAAATCGTTAGTTTCGTATTGATTGTTGGTACAACAGGGTATTTTGTATGTCTGTACAAGGTATAAGATTGGGTCCATCGCTATTTATCAATTGTATCTAGATGAACGCGTCATTGGGACGCGACGGTACTAATGGATATTTTTGGTTGCTGTTGAAAATTTAGTCGATTGCTGAATTTATGTTTGGGCCCAAATTAGGGACGCTTAGGCCGACATTATATACATTTTCCCTACTTCTTTAATTTTCTTCATAATTAGAATTATATCGATTATAATTACACAAGAAAACAAAATTTAAAAAAAATCTGCCGGTGCTAAAAAAAATATGGAAATTAATCCAGCCGAAGGTATGACAAAATTTGACACTTGTGGTAAATTTTTCTTTGCCACACGGCAATTTAATGTTTTACCTAGATGTTGGCACCTTTTTTGCCGGGCTCGGCGAAAAAATCGAAGTGAGAATAATTCTTGCAATTATTGCAGGTGAAAAAGTGGCCCCTATTACGACTGACAAGCAGAAATTTTTTTTTATTTATTAATGATCTGTTTTTGACCAAATTATGTCAAAACTGCTCATTGTGTATCATGACCAAAAACATCATGCAACATAAAGGCTCATGTTCCTCGCCAACCGCCCAATCGAACAAGCATGCACGACGCCACCCCCCACATCTAACCGACTCGACTCGGGGCGTCGCTTTGGCCCAGTAAAGCACGTGAAACACGCCGCAATCGCATCAGGCAGCCCTCCTGTAGCATAAATCCGAACAGCAGAAACATTCGAACACCCATCTTCCTTGCACCGACCAAAACTAGCTACCTATCTCACTCTGCTGGACTTCGGCCGTATCATCGCATCTTTTTCATTCGCATCTTTCGCGAAATTTTCAATGCCCCTCTCGCTCGCTCCGGTAGCAAAGGAACAGCCAAGAGCTAAAAAGCCGTCCGTCCGACCGCGTTTGACAGCGCAGAGTTCTTCGTCGTCGTCGTTTCGTCTTCGAAGTCGTCGTCGCGTGTGCGTGTGTGAAAAAAAGGAAAACTTTCCTCGGAAAATTTGGAACTCTATAGGTGGAAAAACGAAGAAAAACCCATCACCGTCGGGAGTTTACGGTGTGGAAAAACTTTTCGGATAGCAGGAACCACCGAGAAGCGAAGGAGTTTTCTGCACCGGCTGTGTTTCCAGTTCCGAATAAGAAGCTACCAAGAGACGGCCCAAGCAGAAAGGGAAGATTTTTTTCGAATTCGCGTGTGGCCGCAAGCAAGGAAATAGAGTGTGTATTTTGGAGGAGTGAGGAAAAATTATCAATTTTGAAAGCGCAGAAAATGTCGACAGTGAAAAAGTGCTAGCCAGAGTGCATCTCAGTGAATCCTTTCGATAAAAAAGGGCAAAGAATTCGAGTCGGTAATATGTTTCAAGCGCATCATTCTAGAATCACCAGGAGTAACGAGGGAAGTCCATCATCATCGCCACCAATGGCTGCTACAACCGCAGCAGCAGCAGCAAGTGGAGCAGCGCTCAATACCAGCACTGACAGCAATTTAGACGATGACCCCAACAGTGTGAGTTTTTATTCGAAAGCACATTTTTCTACGCATTTTGGCACTTTAGTGTGCCGATCCCTTCTCTCTTTGTTGGTTGGATAGGATTGTAAGAAACTGAACGATCTTGTGATTAGGTTTGGTGACTGATGTGCATAATTTCGTAGTTCATAATCTTTGGCTCAGTCCATGGTCAGCATCTAAGCAGCATTTTCTTCCCTCCATGCACTCTTCTTCTTGCTGTTCCTCATGCTCATGTTCAATGACGGGGTTTTCTTACTCGTGTTTTCTTCTTCCAAAAAGGCTAGTCTTCTGTGATCGACGACGCACACACTAGCAGCGAACAGACGTACGCGAGGTTGTACGGTGCTCGTGAACGGCGCCGCAAGGTTGCCAGTGGTTGTGTTTTTTGTTGTTGGTGCTTTTTATTCGTTGAAGATCGATTAAGAAAAAAAAATGCAAGCTTGAGATGTTCCTGGTTTTACTTTCCGGGCGATTCAAATATCCGGAGTGATTTGAGATTTGGGCGTAATAGCTTTTGTAAACAGACATGTCAACCGTCGAATTTTCGCGTATAACAGCTCGAACTCGTTAACAAACTACCTCTACCTGATTGTGTTACTAGTTTTCGATAGTGATGTTTTATTCGCAAGAAATCGGCGCTTGAGTTGTTTGTTTACAAAAGCAATTATGCCCAAATCCCGAGTCACTCCGGATATGACATCCACAAGATTTTCGATTTTGTTTAGCCCCTCCCCACCAGTCACGCTTTTTCCCATAATTATTGTCACAAATTCTTTGACCTCCTCCCCCTCCTCAAGAGTGGACGTCATATTTGAATCGCCTCGTTGATTTAGGCTTTTTTTTTCCTGAAATCTTCTAATATATCTAGATAGAGCTGGAATTAGGGCGTAACAACTTTTGTAATTACTTCTCTCGATGATTTCTCATGGCTGTCCCTGGCAAATCTACATAACCGAGTAGGGTTTCGAATCATCATAAGAACCTTTCTCGGCCCCAAAAACCCTGCATACAAATTATCACGCCGATCGGCTCAGTAGTTTCCGAGTCTATAAGGGTTAAACAGACAGACAGAAATTCATTTATATATATATATAGATAATCACAATGAATACATTCAAATATTGTCTGTCACAGTTTTTCGACGTCTTCTCTGGCTCCCTAGGGTTGATATAGTTCAATGTAAAAACATTTGACTATTTACAATATGAATTAAAAAAGTAACTTTTTTACACCCCGGACAAGATGAGCACCCTTCCGGGGGAAGACGTGCACTTAGAGCAGAATTTGTTCTTTTATGACATTATGTAAAGATTTACTTGAGATAGGCCTATTTTGCTGGCATCAGCTGATAATCATAAGTAAATTAAAGAAATTTACAAGAAAGTTTGAGATAGTTTGCATCAATATTACATAAATCTAACTAACCCCAGCAGTTGCAAGGACATGGCCAGGACAGTTTTCGATTGTTGAAGATACTGCTACTTCCATCTAAGAGGCCGAGAACAATCCTAATTATCGGTCAAAACGGTAACGGACGGAGGTGGCAGTACTCTCAAGTAATAGTCTAGGGCTTGTACCACCCCGTCTACGAATGTTTGCAACTTACTTAATGCAAATGCGATGTGATGATTACCTGAAACCAGCCAACTAATAACTAATTTTTCGCCGTGTAAAGTGATGTAGGGTTCGTTAAAAGCGTTAGGTTCCTATAGTTGTGTATAGAGTCTCCATACACAACTAAAGGAACCTAACGCTTCTAACGTAATGCAACTATAGAAGCGTTTACCCTATACCAAATAACTGCAAGCAGATTTTCCAAAAACGAACAATATTTATTACCTAACTGAAATTGTAAGAAGTATGTTTACATAATTTTTCAGGACTATAATGCTTCGTTTCATCATCAATTGAGTGGACTACAAAAATAAATAAATGAATAAAACAAATATTAAGTTACATGTATATGGAATGCATATGACTTTATCCATAAAGAGGATTTTCTGTTGGGTACTTTAGCGCTGCGACCATTTATTTGGTGTATTGAACAATTTTGAACTCACTAACTTTACTTACCGCTACTTGTAAAGAGCTACCTTGCACTCTATTTAAATAATTTATTCTGTCCTATTCGTATGCAAGTTACTATCTTTTCGAGGCGTTACGGTATTTTTGGATGATCCATTTCTAAAAATATGTGCTTCAAGCACTTATTACATATCAGGCGTAAAATTTGATAACAGCACAAAAGCTTTTGTAAACAAATGTTGTAAGGCCCTTTACACGCGAACCGAAGTACGCCCACGCAAACCAATACAACTATCGGAAAGGGGAAATTTGCCCCACCCGATGATGTTGTTGGTTTACGTGGGCAGCACGCAACAACCACCCTACTGCTTTCTCTCTGAGATGACCACGTTGGTCATGACGAGGTAGTGATGAAACGTCGCTAGTACTATTCCACAGCCGCAGACAGTAATGAGCAAAGGCGGGCGCACACTTTTTGCCTGTAGATTTGAAGACATTGTTCAAATTTCCGCGTACATCGTACGGGTTAGGCAGAAGGTGTGCGTTTGACTTTGTACTGTCGCATTAATGGCCCTTCGCTCATTTTCAACTTCTATTCAATTTTCATACTGCCGTACTCTAACGGAACTATCCACCTACCCTCTTCTAAGATCATTCTCTAGCTAATAAATTATCACACTAAAGCTTCATGTTAGATAGCATTTCCAACCAACTCTGAAAATTGCAAACTTCGTGTATGAAGTAACATAAAAACACTTTGAATGTAGAAGATTAAGTGCATTTTTCAACCGATTCTAGTATGAATATGGCCTTAAATTTGGCTTTGAAAGTTGTTGCACAGGTAAAAAGTGAGGTTACGGGACGCCACTGGTTCCACTTGCCCGGTGTACCTCAATCAATATTACCCCAGATGGGGGATTGTCTTCTCTATCCGATGATGGTGGTATTACTTTGCGTTATTGAATGATCGTTTGCTCGGACCCCTTTAATTCAGTACGTCAATTACGGCTTTAGATTAAAGAAGTACAACACATCGGTACTATCAACTGGTGGAAACTAACTTTGATTCGTTATGAAAGTTTGACCGACACGTTTCTTCGGGACCTTCTGGTCTTAGGGTTACCTCTATGGTACTACCAACAATACTAAACTAACGATTTTAAATTGGCTCAGTACTGACTAGCCCATTGGTCCCAAGTATATCTATAGACATACCCCATTCTCGTACTAGAATCTCAAAGTTTGATTCGCCTTAAATTTAACAGAAGTTAATGATCACGACAATCACGACTTTCATATAAATTGAAGCGCAATATCGAATTAGCAATGTTGTATACAAGCTTGTAAGCAATTTCGTTGTTTATGCCAACTATATAGCATAAGATTAAACGAGAGGAGATTTTATGGAACAGTAAAGATTGCGGGTATAATCAGGGGCAATAACAATCAGTGAAACTGATACCAATTGCATACTACGTCAACAGAACTGAACGGATAACCGGTTCAGTTTCTAAAGTAGATAAATAATTAAAATACAGACCACTCCACCAACAATTAAAAAGAACAGAGCCACTTGAGATCACTTCTAGACTAACATTTGAAAGGGCGTAACTCCAAAATGACCATATCGAGAAAATCGCTTCTGAATTTTAAAGACCTAAAAATTAATCCTATTTCACGACTTTCCATTTTCTGGATGATTTTATAAGCTTTACATATAGTTAATAGTGAAATCTATCATCATGCATCACCGAAAACTCAAAAAAAGTTTTCTTTGTCGTGCAATTGAGAAGAAAACATCAAACGTCCTGATAATTTCTTACATGTTGTTACCCCCCAGATCTTCCACCCTTTGAACTGCCAACACTGGTGATACGCCGTGGAAGTACACCCTCGGGATTTTTCGTTTGTTGTTACGCCTTGGTTCTTCGTTCGCAAATTTTGTGAGAGTGGAATTACGCCCGGAGATTTTTTGGTCTTCTTTTTGTTCGTCGTTTACACGTGAAATATCAATCGGATGCATTTCAAATGAATCGGGCGTGACTAGATACTACAGAAACAGTACTTTTGGCATATTAAAACAATATAATTCGTTGTTCTGGTGCAAGGCGTAACAACCAGATGCATCATAGAGTTGAAAGTTGGAAGTACGCCATGTAAGAAGAAACGGTTTGATGATTTGAAGTGATATTTTCTTCTACTTTTTCGTGTTTATCGAGTAGTTTGTGAACTGTTCGCTCTATATGTGGCAAAATATGATTTGTTTACATTTTGGAGTTACGCCCTTTTCAAATGTTAGTCTAGACTTCACCTCTATCTAGGTATGTTTCTAGCTCTCACTGAACAAAGCTATTGTTTACATTTGGCACGATAAAACTTTTCGCAGGGTGGCCACCGAACAGGTAGAACCGGGAATCTGATTGGAATCTTACAATATTTTATTGTTCACCGAATTCTGACAACAAACATTCTAATATCTTGAATATTTCTCTTAAAATCTAGAATATTTCTTCAACCTCGGATTTTTTTCCATAGCAGTCTTCAAAGAGTATCCCTTTGCTATAAGATTTATAAAAAAAGCAAGCTTTGAATCGATCTTGTAAATCATGATTTGTTCAAATCCAAACTTCAACCGAACGTTTTTTTTTCTCTTCAAATTATTCTGGACGTTTATTTCGAGTTTGTTCTCGCGTCCGACTCTTCCCGGAAGTTTCGTTTCGCTTTTCCAGAATTCACCTAAAACTGACTATCTGGTCTTCCCCTGGAAGTGTCTTCCAAATTTTCTCACAAGCTTCTTCAGAATTTCCTCAGAATTTTTGTTCGGTATCTCTCGAAATCTTTCTCGATCGTGACTTTTGGTAAATTTCTCGAGAATTGTTACCTGGGTAGAATATACTAGTTCTGGGTGACTTCAAGCCAGCTGGTGTTTCTTAGACTCCATATCACAGCGTCTTCCTATATTTAGAACCCGTACTCGGTCGTAGAAGCTGAGCTCCGTTTACTCAGTTTCGCTTTAAACACGGTTTTTCCAGGAGGAACGATAGTTCAGGATTATCCCATTTTAACTCAAATCGCTCATAAAATTTTCAACGTGCACAAAATTTCAATCCATTCTATCTATTCTTCCTATTCCAAACTTATCCATTCTACATACACACAAATTGTCAAGCAAGACCTGCAGTTTCTCGCAGTTTTCAGGTCAACTGCGAAGCACTCTGCCGTACAGCAGTTTTCAACGATCTCCACAACAAACATGGTGATAAAAAAATTGATTTGCATGTTGAGTCGTTCAAGGTCAATCGACAGAAGCTAGAGGACGTGACCAAAGTTGAAACGTATTCCATAGGAATCAATAGTACCTACAAATATTAGCTGTCAAAATCGGTGTCAAAACTAATAAAGATCCCCACCGGTTTTGATAAGTTCTTCGTCGGTAAAATGGCAGATGTGCTGAAGGCCAAGGATGAAGGGATGGATCGATTGGATTCCCGCGCATCATGTAAGAGACGGCAACGCCCATCCACTTTCCTGATTCAAACCGATCGATTCCAACGGAGAAGAGCAACCAGGTGTCGGTGTGTGGTAGCATGGAAGGTGCGGAACGGACACGAAGCCACTGTTGATTCCGTTCGAACTGCTGATCAAAGCCCCGGAAAAGCCTCACCGGATAACGAATCCCCTACGTCAAACATTAGGAAAAGGAATTTAACGTGCAGGTCACTCGTCGCTGGTGTTGGTCAAGGGTTTGGAAGGAAGAGCTAGTGGTGAAGGGAGTCACCGACAGGCTGATAGACTTTCTGTGCGATAATATTGCGAATCAAATTCCCGCCCAAATACAGCTGGGAATATTAACCGGAACCTAGTGATCCATCGATACCAACCCTTTGTAACCGTTTTCTACACTTGATCTGTGAGCGTTGGTTAATATTGTTGCAGAAGATTTTTCACCTTTCTACACATCTGGGGTCGGGTTTGAATGGTTGCAACAACAACGCGATCGTAGATTGTTTAATGTGATATGAGGGGCTCGGTGGCCTTAGAGCGACCATTTTTGCTAACTGAGTAGAACATCATAAGTTTTATCTAAAGCCCCTCCACATTCAAGATTCAATAATCGTGAAAAATTTTAACACCCCTCACATCCATTCAATTTCTTGATTCTAATCTATTGCATCTATTCATGCTCTATTTTCGTCGAGACGACACACTGAACAAAATTCCCATCAATTATGTTTTTCCATGAAAATCTCAAGTAATTACTAGACTGAAAAAAATGCATTCAATTTTCCCTTTGGTTAGGTTGAAGCTGTACATGCATTTCCACTGCTTGTTGTCAACATGCAGCCATGTCAACTATCCTTTGCTATCCCCCTTCCTTATGCAATTGTTGTTGCTGGTTTTGTCGATTTTGTCAGCAGGAATTCACCTTCTACTTCTTTACATATGAAGCACTTGTTTTTAATGCCGTCATAGAAGACATCTTAAGAAATATGCTTGAATCCCGATCATAGCGATAAATGACTAACTCTTTGCTCATTTCTATCCCTCTTCCCACAGTCTATCATCAACAAGGTCCGGTCCCGAGTGTCGAGCATCCTGCCGGATGCTTTGTCCAAGTGGTTCTCCCCAGCAAAGAGACCACGGGACACGTCCGGAGGCAGCAGTGGCAATGAGCAGAACAATAGCGGAAGCTCCGGGACACCGGCAGGCCGGAATGGAAATCTATTGAGAAGGGGCGACCGTCTTAGGGAATTCAGCTCGAACGAGATGGAAGAACAAGGCACAGACCAACAGCGTCAACAACCGCAGCAAAATTCATATGCTGAAGACGAGGAGGAGGAGGATGAGGATCATGCTCCGCCGACTCGGAAAAAGAAACGCCTGGGGGAGGAATTTGTGAGTAGACATCATCTTCTTTTTCCATCCTACCGGTTTAATTTGTATCCTTTTCTCCCAGAACACTTCCCTGGTGGATTTCAGTGAAGATCTTAGCGCGGTACCGGGCCCGAGTGGTATCAACATTTCCGCCATTGATCGTCGTAGTTCGCTTCCGATGGCAGCTCAGCTTCCCCGGTACCGGAACACATTCTCCTCGTCGACACCTTCCACATCCCCACAGCAGCAGCAACAACAACAACAACAGCAAACGTCAACGGCACAAGGTGCATTCAATCGACTGACGCGGACTAGCCTGATTGGCTACACTAACCGGGCAACGGCACCGTACAATTTCGGTGCGTTTACGACTCCCATCACCGAGGAGCAAGATCAGGAATCGGAACAAGCAAACGAAAGTATATCGACAACAATTCGGCATCGTAAAAGCATTCGGGAGGTTAGCAGTCGGAAGCGTTTGAACATCCCACCGATGGCAGCGGATCGTTCCACTTCGGAACCCCCGGCTCCAATATTCGGTCGAAAGTTTCCTCCCCAGACGCAGCAGCAGCAACAACAGGAGGAAGAAGGAAGCAGTGAAGATCTTCGGAGGGAAGAAGATGGAGAGGGAAACGTTCTGTCGAATGGTAATATGAACGAGAGTGCTTCGGAGAGCAGTAGCGTCTCGAATCTGAACCTGAGTCAGACGGAGGGCCAGATGGAGCGCAGTAGACGATTATCTGGGTTCATGGGGAACAGCCGGAGCAAGCGAATCAGGGTCGGAGGTTCGACGGGAGACTTGTGCTTTTCATCGCATTTGGAAACGGAAAAGAGCCTGTTTTCGATGAAAAACTCAGGCCAGTCAGGACGACCAGCGTTCAACGCATCGCTTTATGGAAGCACTTCTTCGCTGGGCAGCACCAATAGCAGTTTGTTTGCGAATTCTCCATTCTACAATGGAAGAACAATGTACGGAGGGGCATCGGCTTATAGTAGCCGCAGAGACGCTCGTCAAAAGGCATTGAGGGTTCCGGTTCAGATCAGACCATCATCTTCGTTGTCGAATTTCTCCTCTTCCAATGCGAGCCTGGCATCCGATACGTCAGCCCTTTCCAATACGGCCAAGAGAATTTTGGAAATTATGAACCAATGTTCCGGGCCGTTAAACGAAGCTCGAAAGCTGGGTAGCAGTCTGAGCTTGAATAGCACGCTGGCATCGGCCAAAGTTCCTGGACTGGTTCAGGCACGCAAGCGGTTTAACGAAGAAGATCTCAGCATGAACCGTAGCATACGAATGTCTAGTCCTCGAACACCTTACACTAGACCGCAGAGTGCCACCGGCATCGGCAGTTCCACCTCCTCCATCAACAAGCCACCAACAACAGAACTACAGATCCCCACCATGTCTCAACTATTGCAAATGAAACGTCTCCAAACCAATACCGAGTCCGTTCGGCGGATGGCAACCGAATCCAGTGGCAGTACGGTGCTCAACGAACCGACACATTACAAACTGCCGAATGCCGAAGCGGACGACAGCAACAACAATGTGAAACATACCAGCAAGATGCGCAACAAGTTGCACCGAATCCGGGAGGAATCCCACTCGGATCGCGGCAACAAAGCTCCAGTGCCACAAGTGAACCTGCCGGAAGTGCAGCTGGCTGGTTTGAAATCAGTTCCTAAATTTGACATCAAGTTGCCAATATCGTCGACGGTGTCGTCATCAAAGCCATCCGAAAATCCCAAAACCAAACCGGTGACAACTTCAGCTACCACGGATGGCTCCGTTAAAGCCAAGAATAACAACGTGTATAAATTCTCATCACCTGCGAAGCTTAACGTAACGGCTAACGCAGCGGCCGTCTTGATCTCCAAGGCCAAAAACGACTTTAGATTCAGTGATCCGGAACCGATTGGAGCTGGTAAGGGCAGTAGTTCAACACCGATCACTTCCCTCAAGCTGGGAGGATTCCAATTCAATCCGGAAATGGCCAAACCAAAAACTCTAGCCCCTGCAGCGATCCCAACAAGTCCTTCAACTCTTAAAACTCCATTACCACTGAAAAGTGGTAGCTGTTTGGACGCTCTGAAAAGCAGTCCAGTCGTTACGGAGTTGAAATCTGGAAGCTGTTTGCAAGCATTGGCCAAACCGGTGGCTCCAGCCGTTGGTAACGGTACTACCTCTGGTTTCGGTAACGCCTTCAAGCTAACCAGCTCTAACAAATGGGAATGTGATGCCTGTATGGTACGAAACGATCCGGAAAAGACCAAATGTGTGGCTTGCGAGAGTCCAAAACCGGGATCGAAACCGGAAGCGCCTAAGAGTAGTTTTTCGTTCGGTGCATCTCCGGTGGCATCGAGCAAGACTGCTCCTCCAGCAACAATGACTGATTCCGGATTCAAGGCGCTCGTCGCTCAGCAGTCGGCCAAGTGGGAATGTTCCGATTGTATGACACGAAATAATTCCGATCAGCTCAAGTGCGCGTGCTGTGAGAAAGCAAAACCGGGAGTCGTGGCAGCAGCGTCAGCGGCCGCCGTTCCCGCTTCCGTAAAGTCGATGTTCTCAATGCCGACTGGCAGCAGTTCGGATCAGGGCTTCAAAGCACTTGTCGCGCAACAATCAGCCAACAAGTGGGAATGCAGCGCCTGTATGACTCGGAATGAAGCTTCCCGATCAAAGTGCGCTTGTTGTGAACAGGCCAAACCAGGCTCGACTCCGGAGAATGCACCATCCTTCTCTTTCGGAAGCAAACCATCCTCCGCCGCGGCAAAGTTTAGCTTCGGAGTGCCTCAGGATTCAGACGGAAAGGAAGCTTCCAATACGACGGGGTTTTCTTTCGGCGTACCGGCTAGTTCGTCGGCCAGTGCCACAGCATCAACCAGTACAGGATTTAGCTTCGGTTCAGTGACGTCCACGACAAGTGCGACCAGCTCGGAAGATAAGCCCAAATTTAGCTTTGGAAGTAGTGGAAGTACGGCTGCTGCAGCCACGACGGCAGCCCTCGGTACGGGGAGTGGATTAAGCTTCGGTATTAAAAATGCCGCTTCTTCTGACACTACGGATAGCTCTAAGACAAGTGGGAAAAAGGAGCAATCCACACCAGCGGCATCTTTCGGATCCGGTGGGTTCAGTTTTGGTTCCAAATCTGCAACGTCCGATCCGACGAAGAGTTCCGAAACGGTCACTTCCACGACGACAACCAGTGGATTCAGTTTCGGTTCAGCCGCCAGCAAATCTGCAGAAACAGCAAAAAGCACAGGTTTCTCGTTTGGACAACCTGCAGCTGTCGTCACGCCCAGCACTACGTCCACGACGAGCAGTACCAACTCAGCAACAGAACAGAAGAAATCAGCGGTTACTTTCGGTTCATTGGCTGCCGGGGCTACAACAGCAAGTTCTACACTTACAGCGCCCGCTAGTTCTTCGTTTGGCTTTGGATCACCTGCAGCGGCAGCAGCAACAGCTAAGAGTGAAGAAAGCAAGCCAGCCATCGTTGGAAGCGGAATGTTTTCCTTCGGTTCTTCAAAATCTGCAGCTCCATCTGCTTCGACCACAAGTTCGACGGCTACTGCAACGACAGTGCCAACAGTCGAAACAAAGCCATCGGCCTTTTCCGCCAGTACCGCCGGTACTTCCAGTGTTCCTATATTTGGTGGTAAGCTGTATGTACTTTATTAATTATTCAGGGTTTGACCATTTATTCATTGCAGGTGTTCAAAAACCAGCCGGACCTTCGATTACCCCTAGTTTTAGCTTTGGGGCCGCTGCAACCGGATCACCTTCTGCAGCTGCTACTAGTTCGACAACATCCTCTAGCGCGGCAACCACAGCTACGTCAGCTTTCTCTTTCGGATCGAATGCATCCAAACCTGCAGAAACCAGTACTACTAAAACCACTACCGGTACGGCCCCGTTAGCGCCAGCAGCATCAAGCTTCGTTTTCGGCCAGAGCAGTCAACCGACCAACAAGGTAGTGCCGACCTTCGGTGCAGCAGCCACGGCATCCTCCGATAAACCCACGTTCGGTACATTTGGAGCAGCAGCTTCTGCTGCAACAGCTAGCTCGACTGCTACTGCGGCTACAGGGAGCTCAATCTTCGGCAGTGCAACGACTACTGCAGGATTCAATTTCGGCGGAGCGGCAGCTTCCACCGTGACACCAAAACCTGCCGAATCCACCACGTCTGCATTTACGTTTGGCGCTAGCAAAAGCAATTCATCCCTGGCGACCAACGCTACTCCAGTGTTTGGCACTACAGCTGCAGCGGCAGCTTCTGCCAACCCCATTTTCGGTAGCACATCTACCAATACTCCCACATTTGGCAGCTTCGGGTCAGCGACTGGCAATGCTACCAACTCGACGCCAACGTTTGGCTCTAGTACTTTTGGAACGACATCACCCGCCCCAGCCGGAAGTGCTTCTGGATCGATCTTCGGGCAAACAACGGCGCCGTCGGTGCCGGCATTCGGAGCTGCGTCAAGCTCATCGGCGGCCCCCGTGTTCGGTGCTGCTCCCCCGGCATTTGGATCAAGCAGTCCATTTGGCGGCGGCGCATCAGCCGCCACTGCCACCGGAGATGAACCCCAGTCAAAGAAGATGTTCGAGTTTGGCTCGAGCTCCACCGGGAATAGTCAACCTACGGCGGCGGTAAGTGTATAGTTTTCAAAATCAACTCGCTAGCACTGGGCAACGGGGACTTATGTGGTCCGGATGATATTCCACATTTCCTATGGCGGGAACATAATATATACTTTACGTTCGATTTACGTTAAAACATAGGTGGTTATCATTTATCTTATTTTACAAGTTGCTTTTATCGGAATTGCACGTAGCCGAGCAAAAATTAAGTTTCGATTATCTACGCGATTTGTCAGGTAAATAAGACCTGATTTCCAAGTACTGCTTACATGACATTGTGTACACCCTTCTGAAATTATAAAAATTGGCCGTTCTACGGGCCTATCACCCTCTATGGGAATAAAAGCCACATTCTAGTTGAACTTGAACTGGTAACCGCTGGTTACGGCAGACGACGAAATCTCCAGTACACGGAACCAAGTAGATGTCCAAGTGCATCACCTCTGCGTGCTGAGGTCTTCCCGTTTCGCTCGCAGCTACTCAGGGAATCCTTGTTAGTTTCTTTTCCTCCCCTTATTAATATGCTTAAATTTAGGGGATAGTCACACATTATTTGAGGCCTACTGGTTGGTTGGTGTGTGATGGAATACAACATAGCCTACAGTGGCCTATGGGATGTATTCATCAACCACGTCAGCGGAGGAGGACGCGTCTGACTATCTTCAATGTTTTACCGCCACCGAAGGCGGGAAATCATCACTACGCATACGTGCCGTGGGGGGGGGGGCACCTGCGCCTGTCCACCCGAAGTGGAACGCGCACGCACACGTATAGTTGAATAGATAACTATAGGCACTCAAAAATGTGTACATTGTACTGTTGTGCGATGAGCAATATGCGTTCAACTTGTCGGTGTTCATGTGTCCGCGTATTCAGCTGTGGTCTTCATCGATCCACAAGCCGAGTGATCCCCTGTCTAGGGTTTGGTTTCAAGATTTCGAGAGCAACAAAAACGGGTAAAACATTGGTTTGGGTTTATCCCATACATGCATGCATGCATGGGTCGGGTTGGTAAATCATCGCGGACTGGCACTGCACTGCACGGTAACGATACGTTCGTACACGGGTCGAGTGAGCGAGCGAAGGCGCGCGACACCATACGAGTAACAACACCGGCGTGGTCACAGAGTCCTCAGAAAACACACAGGGTAACGTGCTCGTGCGGTTGGCGGCAGGCCACCAGACACACGTTCGATCTGGACACAGGAAATATCTTGATAGGTGAGAATCATACAGTAATGATCCTTCCGCAGGTTCACCTGCGGAAACCTTGTTACGACGTTTACTTCCTCTAAATCATCAAGTTCGGTCAACTTCAGCGAGTCAAATATAATCCCGAGGGACGTAATCAACGCTAGCTAATGACCTGCACTTACTGGGAATTCCAGGTTCATATGGACCATTTCAATCCATAATCCCGACTAAATGAGCATTTCAGTGATTTGCCCGGCCCTCTCGGGCTAGGATACACGTTGCTGCTCACATTGTAGCGCGCGTGCAACCCAGAACATCTAAGGGCATCACGGACCTGTTATCGCTCAATCTCATTTTGCTGAACACAAATTGTCCTATTAAGCAGAAGTCAACCTCGATGAGTTGACGTATTATCAGGTCACACTAGACCGCCGGCGGGTGCGAACGGCCGAAGCCGCCCACGGCCCAACCGGCGGTTTCAACACCTGACTGCTTGATAGCGTTCTATTTAATTTGATTGAGGCACGTTCGCTATCGGAATTAACCAGACAAATCATTCCACGAGCTAAGAACGGCCATGCACCACTGAATTTTGAGAAAGAGCTTTTAATCTATCTTACCTCAATAAGTTCGGACCTGGTAAGTTTTCCCGTGTTGAGTCAAATTAAGCCGCAGGCTCCACTCCTGGTGGTGCCCTTCCGTCAATTCCTTTAAGTTCCAACTTTGCAACCATACTTCCCCCGGAACCTTATTCTGGTTTCCCGGAAGCTACTGAGAGCACCATAATGTAGCGTCTCTTAATTGCTAATTGGCATAGTTTACGGTTAGAACTAGGGCGGTATCTAATCGGCTTCGATCCTCTAACTTTCGTTCTTGATTAATGAAAGCATCCATGGCAAATGCTTTCGTTTTAGTCAGTCAGTACGATGGTCTACGAATTTCACCTCTCGCGCCGTAATACTCATGCTCCCAACTACTTCTGTTTATCATTACCTCTTGATCTGGATTACAAACCAATGAATATTCCATTATTCCATGCAAGATTATTCTCGGCCGTAGGATAGCCTGCTTAGAGCACTCTTATTTGTTCAAGGTAATAGCAGCTGGGTTTGTGGAGAACTGCACCTGATGAAAGGCATCAGCTCCACACTACGCGCGGCCGCCGAAACGACCGGCGCACCCAGTCTTATAGTCGCAACAATCCAGTGACCTACTGCCATCATTAGGAGTAGCACCCGTAACAGGACAAGAATAAACTTCGAACGTTTTAACCGCAACAATTAATATACGCTAGTGGAGCTGGAATTACCGCGGCTGCTGGCACCAGACTTGCCCTCCACTTGATCCTTGTTGAAGGATTTATGCTCAACTCATTCCAATTATAAGACATCATAAAAGAGTCTTATATTGCTTTTTCTCGTCACTACCTCCCCGTTCCAGGATTGGGTAATTTACGCGGATTGGTTCGGGTTCCAGAAATATAAAAAAAGGTTCCGGGCCAGCAAACTAAATGCTTCTCATTCCTAAGCAGTCTAAGTTATCAGTATTTTTGCTTTGTTTTTCTTTTTTCTCGATAGGCCTTCCAGTTTGGCACCGGAAGCAGTAATAATAACAACAACAACAATGACAACACCGCAAAACCGTTCTCCTTCTCGGCGAACTCTGCGCCCAGCTTTAACTTCACCGCTGGATCCAACGTTGGACAAACGGTAAGTGTTTTGATTCATCCTTATCTCTATCCCCTCCCCCCAATCCAAAAAAGCCCATCGAAATTAACTTTCCAGTAGCTATTTTTATTTCCGATACTAAATTTCTGATTCACCCGTTTTTCCGTTCCCACACACACTCTGCTGAATCTTCTCCGTCCGCCTGCCTGCCTGCCTACCTGCCTTTGTTCGTCTTCCCCATATCAGTCGGCTCCCTTTACCTTCGGAAGCAGTCAACCGGCCGGGCCGGTCAGCGGCGGGGTTTTCAGTTTTGGAGCAGCGGTCGGAGCCGGACCAGCAGCACCACCCGGCGGCGGACTAGGAGGAATGGCTGACGTACGTGTTTCAATTTAAATATTTCTGGCCATAACTCGTTCGATTTTTTTGTTTTCGTTTTTACACCTCTGAGTTTGAGTTTTGAAGCGTGAGCGTTGTCGATTGGTATATCATTTTCGTTAAATTTCCTTGTATAATTCGTAGTCACTAACTTTGCTAAAGGATCAGGAAGGGATGCGTGACCACCGTGCACCCATTTGTTTCACATCTCATTTGCATATCGCCAGCGCACGACACCCCCCATTCAGTTTGCATGTGTTGTTTAAGAATTCTCTACTGCTTTTGAAGAGTGCACTAATTGATGAAATGTGGATTTGTATAAAAACAAAGAACGATCCTACTAATTCGCGTGTGTACTAACATAATGCTAGAGCAGTTTTGTATGCGTGTGGCATTTTGCACTATGTAATATGATGGAACAATATGCACTCATTCTGCGGTTCATTCGTGCTCACATTACCTGCCCTCTAACGGGGATGACGATCCGTCATGGAGACGACGGCTCAAGGAGGAGCAGTTATGGTAAATTATAGCGAGGCTTACGTTTAAGGACACAACCGGATGGCAATGGAAACAATTTTCAAGGATGACGGAAGTTATGGAAGTAAGTGGCCATACTGCGTGCACTGCCGGTGGAAATGCACACATCTTTTTTGGACTGGGGTAAAAATGCTTCAATCTCATAATTTCATTGGACATCCATATTCGCAGTTAGCTTAACTAAAAAGGCCGTTCTTCACTCACATCTTCACTATGCATTCCGGCACCTCAGATGTTATGATCAATTTGGGGTGATGCACAGTTTTGCAATTTATCGCGAGTATCTTGCGATAAGAACATTTTAGCGGGAAATCCCTCCAATCGTTTCTCGGTACATCTTTTATCTACCAATTGAGCAAATAATATGGACTATTTTTAATTCGTGCGTTTTGTGGACGTACATCCATCATTTTGCATAAGAAAAGTTGGCGTTTTTGTGGTGGAAAAATGTGATTTCCCGATCACAGATTTCAGAAATCAATACCTAGCAGTGCTGCAAAATCTCGACAGTACACGGTGATATTGACAATTCTGCTTTGGTCACTCATTGGAGCTAACAGTCATAGTCAAGGCAAACCATGTCAATTGTCAATGACAATGCTGTCAGTGACGAACATGTGCAGATTTATTTATTAGCCAAATTTGTAACGAAATTAAATGACTTGAGCAAAACAATTACATGGATCCATTTTAGTGAACAAGTATCTACGTCCTGAGCTACTTGGATAACAATAATGTGACACAGAATGTACTAAATTACACTTTTTGTTACCAGGTGAATCTTTGTCATTGACGAAAAAATGAATGAGATTTTGACGAAGGTTTTTTTTAAGGATCAAGTCTGTCAGTGACTATGTGACGAACAATTTAGTCAATATCGCGCGAAAGTCTGTCAGTGACAATGACAAATCTCAGCACTGATACCTAGCACTGGAACAACCGGACACACACACTTAGTTCAGATCACCAAAGTCGGTAGAATTTTACCAGGGGTTTGAACAGCAGAACAAGTCGGTTTAATTTTCAAATGGTCGTTACACTTGCGATATCAATAAAATTGACATTTTTTTTATGAGTTGGGGTAAATTGAACAAAGTTTCTGTAAGTTCGGAATTAATTTATGAATTATTGAATTTTTCACGGATTTTTTAACTTTAATCGAACAGCTCTGTGGTACAATATTTATCGAACGGTGGAGGTCTGGATTAGTGTGCCCTAGTCTAGGCTTCCCTTTTTTGGTAATTTTTCAACTACGGAACTGTTCGATAACAGTTAAAAATCCGACCTAAAGTGAACATGCACTTTTTTTTTGCTTTTTTTTTTCTAGTCTCCTGAACAAAGCCGCACCTTAAGTTAGAATATTTTGCTCAAGCCTTTTAGTAATTTTCAGCAGTTATCAATTGCTATGTGCGTAAATCTTAGGTCACTATTATGATCAGTGTTTTTATTCAGGATCATCTGAATTTCAGGCGATCTACATGTCATGTCAAGTCTTTGCTAATACATTCACTAAGATAACATCATGATCATGGAAAACGAGAAATCCCTTAGAATAATGTTTTGTTATCCACCACTGCACTGAGGTGGGAGCTCAGCAAGAACTCATATGGCTTTTTTGGAACGATTAAATAGCCAACAAACTTAACGTCACAGTGTTTAACGAAACCTCCGGACGATCTAGGTAGTCTTCAGATATTCAGATAAGAACTCCTGAAATCTCTAAAGCTGCTCAGTACTTTCATTACCTTGTTAGAAGTTCCCAGAGTGCACTCGTTTCGAGCTCATTTGACACATACGAAGCACACTGTGTCCGAAATGATGGATTATTCAATTTCCATGTACATCTGGTTTTTCTTAGCCAAAATTTAATTTGGGTCCTAAATCGGTTTATTTTAAAATATTCTGTTGGGGGAAATTAGAATGATTAAATTTTATTATAATTTTCCATACCAATAATAGGATATGACACTGAAGAGTTATAATCTCCTCATACAAAAATGCACCAACTATTTCCTCCCACAGAATATTTTTTAAAACCAACCGATTTAGGAATGATTGCACCCTGCACAACTCTGAAGTTCGCTGATTTTCTCTGAAGCCCGGTTTAGATCTCCGCAATCCACCGAACGTACCTCTGTAGTTCGACGAACCTCTCAAAAGTTTCTCAGGTTTAACAACCTCTTCTTTTCAGAGCATGCCTGACCCTCTTAGAAGTTCACTGCAATATTCATTGAAGATTAGTTAACTTCTGAACACTTCAGAACATTTTGGTGAGCACTTCATAGTAGTTTAATGAAGATCGGAGCACTGATGAGGTTCAGAGCACTTCAGAGAAGTTTATTGAAGCTCAGAGCACTTAAGAGAAGTTTAATAAAATACAGAGCACACTGGTGAGGGTCAGAAACTCTCAGCACTTTGGACAAATTTAGTGAGGTTGTGAACACTTTCGAGAAGAGTGTTCAGAGATCAGAAGCTTAGTGAAGTTCAGAGTACTTAAGAGAAGTTCAGATCACTTTATAGAAGTTTATTGAATTTCAGCGCACTGGTGAGGTTAAGAAATTCTGAGCACTTTGGACAATTTTATTTAAATTCAGTGCACTTAGAGAATTAATTAATTAATTTATCTTTATTAGGGAGGCTTTCAGCCTGGGGCTGGTTCGCCTCCACGTCGCACTTAGAGAAGTTGAGCGATGTTCCGAGCACTTCAGAAAATTTAAGTTATGTTCAGAGCTTTTTTAATAAGTTCAATCAAGCTCAGAGCACTTCTGAGAAGTTTATTGAAGTTCAGAGCACTTGATAGAAGTTAAGTGAACTTCAGAGCAAAGATGTTGAGTAAAGTTCAGAACGCTTCTGAAAATTTTAGTGAAGTTCAGAGCACTTTGAAAAAGTTTAGTGCAGCTCAGAGCAGTTCAGAGAAACTTAGGCCACTTCTAAATGTTTTGGTGAGATTCAGAACACTTGACAGAAGTAAGTGAAATTCAGAGCACTTGTTTTCACAGTTTTGTGAAGTTGAGAGCAATTTACTAAACTTCAGTGTAGTTCAGAGAAATTTATCGAAGTTAGTTCAGAGTACTTCAGAGAAGTTAAATTTAGTTCAGAGTACTTCATAGAAGTTTATTGAAGTTCAGAGCACTGGTGAGGTTCAGAACTTCTGAGTACTTTGGACAAGTTTATTAAAATTCATTGCAGTTAGAGAAGTTGAGCGAAGCCTCGAGCACTTTCGAAAACTTATGTTATATTCAGAGCTTTTTTTAACAAGTTCAATATCGCTCAGAGCACTTGATAAAAGTTTAGTGAACTTCAGACCACATAGAGAAGTTGAGTGAAGTTCAGAGCGCTTCTGAAAATTTTAGTGAGATTCAGAGCACTTCGAAATAGTTTAGTGCAGTTCAGAAATAGTTCAGTGCACACCAGAAATATTTGGTGAGGTTCAGAGCACTTCAGAGAAGTTTATTAAAATTCAGAGCACTTGATAGCAGTTTAGTGAACTTTATAGTATATAGACATAGACAAGTTAAGTGACGTTCAAAGCGCTGCTGAACATTTTAAGTGAGGTTCAGAACACTTTGAAGATGTTTAGTGCAGCTCAGAGCAGTTCAAAAATACTTAGACCACTTCAGAAATGTTTGGTGATAAAAGTTTAGTGAACTTTAGAGCACATAGAGACGTTTAGTGAAGTTCAGAGCGCATCTGAAAATTTTAGTGAGGTTCAGAGCATTTTGAAGAAGTTCGTAGAAGTTTATTGAAGTTCAGAATACTGGTGAGGCTCAGAACTTCTGGGTACTTTGGAAAAGTTTATTGAAGTTAAAGTTAACTTAAAGAAGTTGAGCGAAGTTTTGAGCACTTCAGAAAACTTAAGTTATGTTCCGAGCTTTTTTAATAAGTTTAGTGAAGGTCAGCGCACTTCAACGAAATTGATTATGAAGTTCATAGCACTTCCGAGAAGTTTATTGAAGTTCAGAGCACTTGATAGAAGTTTAGTGAACTTCAGAGCACATAGAGAAGATGAGTGAAGTTCAGCGCACTTCTGAAAATTTTTCTGTGGTTCAGAGTACTTTGAACAAGTTTAGTGCAGCTCAGAGCAGTTCAGAGAAACTTAGACCACTTTAGAAATGTTTGGTTCAGAGCATTCATGTCAAAGTAAGTGAAGTTTTGTGAAGTTCAGAGCAATTTACTAAACTCCAGCGCACTTCAGAGAAATTTATTGAAGTTCGGAGTACTTCAGAGAAGTTAAATGTATTTTAGAGTACAACATAGAAGTTTAATGAAGTTCAGAGCACTGGTGAGGTTCAGAACTTCTGAGTACTTTGGACAAGAAAAGTAAGTGAAGTTTTGTGAAGTTCAGAGCAATTTACTAAACTCCAGCGCATTTCAGAGAAATTTATTGAAGTTCGGAGTACTTCAGAGAAGTTAAATGTAGTTCAGAGTACAACATAGAAGTTTATTGAAGTTCAGAGCAC